GAAATCAAATAGGACTTATATTCAATATTATCAAAATTCAATAAAATAATGTTTAAATCTCTGTTATTAACGAGAAACTCATATTTGTTTTTCGACTGTGTAACATAATCTCAATAATATAATTATTTATGAAAAACATTAAATTTACTGATTGCAAATTTTAAGTGTATAAATTATGTGTTAGTCAATCTATCTGAGAACGAAAACTCTTCCAATACTAATGCTAAGATATGATCCTAACATGTTCTACATATACAGGATGTCATTTCACTAACAGTTTTAATTCAAAACTTTTAAATTCACTCATGAAATAGACAAAATTACATTAGCTAGTATTTTACTGCAAAACCTCTACATTGTTTTTCCATAATAATCATCCATTTATAACAATTCACGTTTCGTCTTGCAAGTGTATTATAATAAAAAAAAAAGAAATCATAGTTACTCAGAATCTAGATAAATGTTTGTATGTTGTTGTAATAATAATGTCTGAATATTTTAATAATTGAAATAAAAAATTGACATTTCTCATGATTAGTATTCTGGAAACGAAATAAATGATTACATAATACAAATATTTCATAACAAAAATTTGCTGACAAACATCATCAAACAAATAGGCATTCAAAATTAAAATAATCACAAAAGAAAAAAAAACGAGATTCATTAAATGATACAAGCGAAAATATGAAAGACAAAAACATTTCTTTAACCAAATAGAACATCTAATATCATCATTATTGTAAATCCGCCTAAAAGAAAAAAAATTTTTTTTTTCACACATTAGTTGATTATTTAGAGTGAGACAGAGGCTCTTCTCACATTTTTTAGTTTCTATAAAATACATAAAAAATGGCTGCATAAGAAAATATCTTTTGAATTAGATCATATCTAATAGAAATCATCAAGTTCGAAAAAATCTATATTTCTTTCTTATTTGATGTCAGCGAAGAAAGTAATCTAGACTACATCGTGTGCTCTTACAATAATGCCTTGAGGAAATATTCTGTTGATGAAAACTTGTCCCATCGATTCGCTGCTATAAGATGACATAATTTTCTTTTAGAAAACAAAATGTTGTTCTCATGAAGTTAGAAGCTTCAAGGCATGTCTGACAGTAAAATCTATTATACTATGTAAAGCAGATTTTTTGCAAAACATTATATTTATACGCTTTAGCATGAATGCATTTCAATGAAAATTTGCATGTATATGTAACTATCTATTATACATGTTGCCACCAAATTATAAGGTATTTGAAAGCTCTATTGAAGAAATACAAAAGAATTATTGAATATATGTTAATTTTACTTATGAATGAAAGCATACTTAAAAAAAACACTTAAAAAATGTCAATTTTACTATCAAAATTTATTCTTCTATATAAAACTTCAACAGATCGATTTCTTGTCGCATAAAAATGTATATATAAGATATGTGAGCTATATATAATATTAAAATGAAAATGATCTATTAATATTTTGTAAAGAAGAAGAAAGTGTAATCATAGAATTTTAGATATTTCCCTAGGTGTCTATATTTTCATCTAATAGTAAAATTACTATATTCAGTCATTCTTTTATATTTCTTCAAGAAAGGTTTCACCTGTTTTCTAATTTGGTGATAATGTGTCTCATAAGCAATCACACATACATACAAATTTTCATTGCAACCTTATTATACTAAAACGTATAATATTTTGCCAAACATGTGCTTCGTATAATATGCAGAACTTCACTGTTAGACATACCTTGGAGTTTCTAACTTCATGAGAACGACATTTTGTTTTTCTAAAAGACAAAAAACTGTCATCTTAGAGATGCGAATCAAGTGAACAAGTTTTCATGCATAAAATTTTCCCGCAAGGCATTTCTGAAAATAGAAGATTTAGTGAAGAATACTTTTTCCGCTAACATAAAATCAGTCGAAAATATCGATTTTTTTCGAACTCAATAACTCGTATTAGATATTATCTAATTGAAAAAATATTTTCATATTCAATCATTTGTAAGTATCCTATAGAAGCTGACAAAATTTGAGAATATGTTAAAATTCTTTTCGTCTTAATCTACCTACCCATGACGCACCAAGATGATATGGTTCGGTTTTGACTTATATATAAAAAAAAACAATTTTCCATTATTGTTAAAAGCAATAAAAAGACAACCTAACTTACGGAGTAATTTCGGGTATAATTTCATTAAAAACAACAAAAAGCATTGCACCAGCTGCAAATGAAAGTGAAAATGGAAGTAGGCAATTAGCTAATTGAACAAAGCAAACACCAAGAAGCCCAGCTATTATTTCAACTAAGCCACTTAATTGACCATACCTATTAAAAATGCATATCATGTATGAATACACAAAGACATTTGCAACAAACCAAAAAGCTTTAAAACATCCTATACCAAATGATCGTAGAGGTAAACTGATTGCCAATCCTAAAAATAATTATTTGATATTGTTATTTTACTGTCAAAAAGAAAAATCTTTATCAATGAATAAATAGTGTCAGCAGAAAATTGTCATGTATAACACGAAGCAGTGACTTCCGTAGTGAATAGCAAAAAAGAAATTCTCGATCTTTTATACAAAGGAAATAGAATCTATAAAAATAAAAAAAAAAGAAAGAATTTATATTTCTTGTTTCACAATTCAACACTCTCTTGAGGATTGTCTGTCATATAAAGATCTTTTAGGTTTTATTATAATATATTTGACAGCAACTATATTCATCTATCTCCATCAAATGACACGAAAAAGATGCTTAGATGACATCTTTTCTTTCCTGAATACACTTCTTATAATATAATTTCATATGTTACAAGAACAATAAGTCCGCTGCAGGGATTTCTTCGCATTCAATTATGTTTCATATGTAAAGCATATTTTAATTTATTCAATAACTTGAGGTACTAGATTAATAGTGTCATTCATCAAAAAACCACTTTTCATAATTAATCTTCACTTTTTCTTCTCTGACTATTTTTTCATATGTAAATTTCCGCTAATTGCGTTCTGTTCTTCATTAATTCCTCTGAAGAATACCCTCGTTTCTATGATGAACAGAAAAAAAAAACCAGTAAAGAAATAAGATAAACTTATATAAAAATAGACAGATTTGAATAGATCCTAGTATGTGCACAAAGATTTCAAAAGATAACTAATATGTTAGTTGATATGCATTGATACGACGTCATAATTTTTTTTCCGATATAATACATTTACTTTATAATGCATCTGACGCCTTTATTAATATAATAAATATTTATATTAACAGAAGGAAAAGAGAAATGCAGAAAAAAAAATGAATCCAAAAACAACAAAATGAACGACAAATCTTTCAGACATTCTTTTATAACCATCGTTAATTTCTTCTCCTTAATATAGCGATGAATTTTTTTTCCCGACTATCACAGCTTGATATACATTGAATCAAATTTGATTACATGGTTAGAAAGAAAAATCAATTTGTTCCGGAAATCAAAGATAATTTTACAATGATCTTTTCACAATTGATTTAGACTTTCAATTCGAATTATTCTTTTTCTTGTTTTTTTTTATATTTATTCTTATGATTCTACCTTCAGGGAAGTTTTGTATACCAATACCAAGTGCTAACTTTCTAAAAGCAAAACAGAAAATATAAGAAAAGAAATCACTTTCATATTGTTTACCTTGCATGATTAAATGACAATGTTGCATTGCTCGATGATGCAATTGATCCAAAAGCAACACCAACAGCCATACCTTCTAAAAAAAATGGAAAGAAAAATTTTTTAAATGATTAATAAATCTATCTTTTTCGTGCTTTTCAAACCTGGAAAATTATGTACAGTAACAGCAATAATAAGTAAAAGTAATCGATGCCATTTTGTTCGTTCATTTGTGTTTATATTAATTTCTTTAATTTCTTCAATAGGACTATCACCAACAGGTCGATGAGCTTGTTTTGTTAACTCTTGATTACGTTTTAAACGTGAACGTACAGCAGAATGTATTTTTAAATTTGACAGATTATCTTGATGATTTTTTAGTTTTTGTTCATGAGTTTTGTTATTTGATACGCATTGGAATAGTTGTTTTGACGTTATTGATGGTAATAATAAATCAGCCATATAAACAAATAAAGCGCCAAGTAAAAAACCAATTATAATTAATATAAAATTTAATTGAATATTTATAAAATTCTGTTCATGAGCTATTTTAAAAGCTGGTTCTAGTAAACTCCAAAATGATGCTGCAGTCATTACCTAATAAAAAAAATTTAGAAAAAGTTAAGCTTATTTCTTTATTTATGAATATATCTACTCCAGCTCCAAAACCAAGACTATAATCAAGTAATTTTTGCTAGAAAAGAAGAAAAACACGATTGAATAAAAAATAATTTATCAGTTTTTTTTTTGACATACATTGGCTGAATGAAATATAAACACCAAAGCAGCACCAGCAGCCGTAACAAACCATGTAAATCCAGTGCCTGAAAAAAGAATAGTAACAATTGTTGTTTGTAAAATAAGATTTCGTTCATTAGCATACCTAAAAGGCATTGAATAAATATTGATTGATCACGCAACATAAAAAAAAATGAACAATTTTCTTTTTTCTTTTTTAAATATTAATCAATCCACATTTTATTCATTATATCCAACAATTGGTCATTTAATTTCACCAATAAAAAAATGACTGAAAGAACAAAACAACAAAAGAAAAACTACACATACTTTGTATGATTATTAGACAACAATAAAAAAAAAATGAATGAGAATTCATCATCTCTTGATTTAAGTACATTATGGGTTGAATATAAAAATCCTGATGGTCGTGTAAGTCTAGTTAATTTTTTCTTATAAACTGAAAAAAAATATTCGTATATTTTCGATAGATTTATTATTATAATGCTAAAACACGTCAAACAACATGGACAAAACCAGAAGGACAACGTGTTATGTCACAGAATGAACTTGATCAATTACTTTCTAATCAAAATGAAACATCAAAAAACTTGCCAACACCAATAAATATAGATACAATTGATGAAAAAATTGAATCAGTAAAAAAAGATATTCAATCACCAAATGATAATTCAACAACGAATTATAATCCATATTCATATCCACCACCTTCACTTGGTATGCCATTTGGTGCATTTCCACCACATTTAATGCCACATATGGCTCAAATGATGCAAAATAGTAAATCAAAATCAAAATCAAAATTTGAATTCATTTTTGTTTATTTTATTTCAATATTTAGATTTTCCTGGTTTTGGTTCAATTCCTCCACCAGCACATTTACTTCGTTTTATGATGCCACCATTTTTAAATCCATCTAGTTTAACTTCAGGAAAATCTTTAGAAACACTTCAAACAGAATTAAAAAAAGTTTGCTTTTTTTTTTCTTTTGAAAAAAAAATTCTTTTACACAAAAAAATTATCTTTTGTTTAGTTACGTGTACAATTAAAAGAACTTGAAGAGAAAATGGAAAAAATCAATAATGAAGCATCAGTTTGGTCAGAATTTAAAAATCCTGAAGGACGACCTTATTATTACAATTCGAAAACAACTGAATCAACATGGGATAAACCTCTTGTATTAAGTGATCTTATTGGTATTCAAAAAAAAAAAAAAAACAAAAAATCTTATTTTTTAATTATTATTTTGTTTTCTTTTTTTAGATATACAAAATCAACTTGAACATGTAAATAAAACAATTCATGAAGCAGAAAAAGAAGTTAAACGACTTGAAAGTGAACAAAGTCAATTATCTGCGGCAGCAGCAGCAGCAAATGCTAATGATAAACAGCAACAACAACAACAAACTGTCCCGACACCAGCTTTTATTAATGGTTTTACTTTAGAAAAATTAGATAATAATGAAATTAGACGATTTGTAAGTATTTATGAAAGAAAAAAATTAACCAATGCTTTTTTCTATGTAGAAGGTAGTGTCTCTCCGCATATTCAGTTGATCCTCCCAGACTTTGAAAAAAGAAGTTTTTACCCTTTTGGAATTTTTAATCACTCTTTCGACAGAGAAAATCTAAAAGAAACTGAATGTAGCTTCATGAATTAAACCATTTCTCTATTGCGGTATTCTAATATGTATAGTCATGTCGCACAATTGTTCGCATTAACGCTCCGATACTTGTGAGAATTATGAGTTGTGCTTAAGAGTCTCAGTTCCAACTATGAACAGTTTTTACCCGAGGAGAAAACAGTATCACAATATATTTTACTAATAAAAATTTATCTTATAACAGCAGTCAATGTAGGCTCTGTAGTTAATATAGACGACTTAGATGCATTAAGATTATTAGAGTACATCGGAAACGAATTAATTTTATTGGTTTTAACACACAAAAGGTTCACCAGTTTCAATACAACACGTCATGAATAATTTCATATAAATCTAGTTGTTAAGTGATGTTTTTTGTTGAATTTTTGGTTTTTAATGAATGAACCACCAAAATTAATGCTAGCCGTTTGAACTTATGTTAGATCCACAAGAATGCCTTGGTGAAACTAGCTAAAGTTTAAAAATATTTGTGTCTATTGGTCTTTGAAGCTGAGTATTCATCGTTTTACTGAATTTTCGACCAAGCCTTAGATGTATACCGAAAAATCAAAAGAAAATTTTCGACATGAAGTTAAGCCCATAGATGGATTGAGTACCTCATAGAATATCCTAAAAATTTCAACGAAAAACAATGTTATTTTGTTCCGATATCAAACTGCAGAAAAATATTGGCTTGCAACAGGCATCATAGAAAAATTGACTTTACTTGAACGTTTAATATCTCGACAAAAGAAAACATTCTTTTCGGCTAAGACTTTCAAGATATTCTTAGAATCATTAGATGTAGGCTCTAAACTTTATGTCAGGATTTCATTACTTCATTTTTTTTAAGTAAATACTTAAAGTTGAAGTTGAAAATTTAGTAAAACGATGACAATTCGACTCCAGGAAATTTAGAAGAACAATAAGTTGTCGATAGTTGGCTTATATAGAACTTCATTGTGGGAATGAGTTTGAAATGAAGTACCTTTTATTCTACTCTCTAACCTAATATGATGCATTTAAATCAAGAAGTTAATTATCTTCTCATAGGGTGAAGTGTCATTGACTTCAGATCGTAATGTAACCGATGATAAAACAAAAGGTAAAGCTAGACCAATATCAACAAAGCCGATACCTGGTACTCCATGGTAAATCAGATATCAAATTGAAAATTTCAATCATGCATCTATTTTTTTCGCTAGGTGTATTGTATGGACGAGTGATCATCAAGTATTTTTCTTCAATCCAACATCACGTGCATCACTTTGGGATAGACCAGAAGAACTAAAAGGTAAATATTTGATTATAAAAGAAGGCAGAGTGAAGTTTCTAAGCTAGCCCAAGCTTACTTCGTTGCTAAATGTTAAAGTACTTTTGAGTAGAGCTAATGTATATCATGTGGTTTCTAATGAGATATGAATACTCCAAAAAGAGTTCAGACTCATAGCTTATTACTACCGAGATATTGTATTAGCAAAATTCTGTAGTCTCTCTCAGAAATATCAGAAAAAAATAAAATTTTGAATCTCAATTTAAAAAATAGTACAGTAATACATGTTAACGAGTATAGCTCATGATGGAAGTTCCAGATTTTTTCATAGCGTCTATTCTGAAACAAGAACATCGGGATTTACCGTGCTACATGCGCAATTGTAAAAAGCATGTTTTTACTTTTGCCGTATTTTAGAATAGAAGCAATCAAAAGAAGTTTTTCTGGTGTTACTGAAAGGATATCATGGCATTCATTTAAAATATAACGTAAAACTGAAATATTTCGGCAACCATTAGCAAAGGGCATGAACTCTTTTTAGAATATTCATAACTCATTTGAATCTACATAATGCACATAGCCTCAAATGAAAAACTTTTTATCAGTTGGAGAACTTCCGTCGTGAAAAATAGAAAAACATAGTGCTATGCAGTATGAATTTAGATCACACCATAGTTATAGTATTTTTCTAAGCAAATTGCATTTTAAGAGATGGCATTGCGTGTCAGTAGACGAACAGTACTATATGAATTTCCGTAGTTTAAATGCGTCAGTTTGAGTTATTAGTTGTTCAAACAGTGGTTAGATTACAGAACAAACTACTCGGAAATCCATAATATCGAGAATGAACTAGTATAAGTATGTACTCATACTTGATGAACTATGCTATCTCATAAAAAAAGATGTTTTTTTGAAAATGTATACTGCTGAGCACTACGGAGTGTACCAATTGTTGATAGTAAAAAAGCTTTTTATAAACATTAATACTTGAAGTTCGCTGATACTTCGTTAATTATTATTTACAATATTTTTTTTAAAGTTCTAATATCTTTGATCAATATAAACAGATATTTTAATGTAGTTCATCTTTTTTTTTGTTTAGGTCGAACGGATGTTGATGAAATGATTCGTGCAGCAATGCCACAAGACGATTCAACGAATACTAATCGAACAATACCAACAAAACAAAAATTAGATTCAACTTCCGATGATACAGAACCTGAAGCCAAAAAAATCAAGTAAAAAAAATAATATAACAAAAGTTAATTTTTAATAAATTGTTTGTTGTCTATTCAGATCAGATTTAATTTCAACTACAACTACTCCTAATGGTAATGAAAATCATGATAATGAAATAAAACTTCTACAAAATACAACTGAACGTTTAAATAATACACAAGAATCTACTTATGATTCAGAAGCCAAAGCAGCTAAACAACGAGAATTAATTCCATATGAAACACGTATTAAACAATTTCGTGAAATGCTTGCTGAAAAACAAGTTAATTGAATTTATTTTATGCTTATTTTTATTATTTTATATTTTATTTTGATATAGGTTAGTGCATTTGCAACATGGGAACAAGAAAAAAATAAAATTGCTTATGATCCACGTTTTTCATTATTAACAGCTAAAGAACGAAAACAGGAATTCGATCGTTATACACATGGTTAGCATTTTTTGTTTGAATATTTCTTATGAATAAAAAAGAACGTTTTTTTTATATTAGAACGAGCTGATGAAGAACGACGAGAAAAAGAAGCTAAACTTAAATTAAAAAAGAAAGAATTTCGTGATTTATTAAAAGAATCGAATGTTTCAATTAAGTAAAAATTTATTTGAAATTTCAATAAATTCATTTTTGATTGAAATGGTTTTTTTGTTTTTCTTTAGAACAACATTTACTGAATTTGCATCACGACATAGTAAAGACGAACGTTTTCGTGCTATAGAAAAAATACGAGATCGTGAAGCATGGTTTCATGATTATATACAAGAATTAAAAACACGAGAAAAAGATGGTTCTAGTCGTCATAGTGAAAAAGAAAAAGTAAGAATTTTATTTTCCTTATCATTTCAAACGAATAATTGAAAGATTTTTCTAATGAAATAATAAGGTTAACAGAATTGTTATCAATATATTGTATATTTACTATATACATAACATATTTTTAATCAAAACCAAAAAAAAGTCGTAAAAAACCAATTTTCTAGAAATCTGAAGATGAAAGTGTCTTTATTCTAGTCGACATATTTTTCACATATCCAAGTCCAATATAAAATAAACTACATAGAGGTGTAGAAAATTTTGAGTGCTATTCGAATATATGATTATTCTTTCGAAAACATAGTTTTATGTTGAAGATTTAAAATACTAATTATATCTATTAGTTTTCAAGGATATCTATATATATATATATCTTTTGTCAGTCTGCGCAATAGGGTGCAATAGCTTTCCCTAAACATAATTAGCGAATGTGATAAAAGGTTATTGCTTCCCTTGGTATCTTCCAAATCTGATAATTAATATGGAAAGACTAATACACAGTGCTAGAAATGCGTTTTGTTCTATCTGTATGACTAAACTTGTGTCACATATATATATATGGCATCTATCTTTATTAGAGAAGCTGAAGGCCGATGGATTAATATCATATGACTAGACATAGACAAAAGAAAACTTTCTCTGTTTTATGTTCTTTTTAATCATTAACAAAGTTTTGATTAACTAAACGTCTGAAAAAAGTAGTAAAGTTTCTTATTATTTGACACAAAAGACCTAAAACTCTATTACAAATGTAATACATGTAACAGTACAGTTACTGTAAATACAAATGAAACAATTAGATTAAATGAAATTGATGATACAACATCAGTGTCACAATCTTGAGGGTGTAGGTATTAATCTTTTCTACACCAATCTACATTTCATTGAGTCAAGAGAGACAATTTAGAAATAGATAAAAATTATCCGTTTAGAAGAAAGTACTGCTTCCCCTGGAAAGGTGAATTGGTGTCGTCTATGTTTATAATTAATCAGTGCTGTGCTAAAAACAACAGATTAGATGGATAGCCAAGTTTTCTATCCTATTGCTATGCTTTTGACAATTCCGTCGCAGCTTGTAGCAAACACTCTGTTATGTATATTAGAAAAACTAAAACAAATGTTAATGAAAGCAATGACATAAGCAGAAGAAATATTCTAATATTGCTCGTCCCTAGAAGATATTTTCCATGTCATTGAGAATATAAAAGTACGCTTCGATTGAGTCTAGGACCCCAAAATTTTGAACCGAATTAGACTCTATCCTACACACTAGTAGATTCTGCAAGTCTGATTCAAGTATCAGTTCTGAATAGAAATTTCATTGATTTCTTTGATATCTAAATGATAGTAATACCAAACAGAGAAAAATTTAAATATTTTACACTCGGTTTTTTTTTGTTTTTAGCTAAAAAAAGATTATTTCTCATTATTAAAAGAATTAAAAGTTACTCGAAATTCTTCTTGGTCTGATATAAAACATTCCGGTGAACACGATTCACGTTATAAAGCTATTGAATCAAGTTCAAGACGTGAAGATTGGTTTCGTGAATATCAAACAAAACATATTGATGAAACAATAATTACTTCGAATGAAGTATGAAAATAAACATATTTGTTCTGTTTTAAATTAAATAAAAAAAAAAACAAACTTTTGTTTCAGACAAATGAAGAAGAACTTGAGCGACAACGTGAAAAAGAAAGACAAGAACGTATTGATGCTAGTATAAAAAAACGTGCTGAAGAAGTTAAAGTACAATTATCTGGTTTTCAACGTGAATTAGATAAAGAACGTGAACAATTAAAGAAAGATAAAGCAGTGGAAAATTTTAAAGCTTTACTAACTGATATGGTACGAACAGCTGATGCAGAATGGAAAGAAACAAAAAAAACTTTACGAAAAGATCCACGATGGGAACAAGATATTGATCGAGATGAAAAAGAACGTCTATTTGAAGAACATGTTAATTTATTAGAAAAAAAACGTAAAATGGCATTTCATGCTTTATTAAGTGAACATTGTACATTAACATCAATATGGAAAGAAGTTAAAAAAATTATTAAATCAGATCCACGTTTTGAAAAAATTTTTTCGAATGAACGTAAACGTGATTTAGAAAAAGAATTTGAACTCTATATGAAAGATAAATATCATACAGCTAAAAATGAATTTAAAGAATTATTAAAAGAAACAAAATTAATTACATATAGGTAATTAACATAAAAAGAACGCAATTGATTTTTCAACAAGTTTTCTTTTATTTTTAGGTCACTTCAAATGATTAGAGAATCAGAAGAACAAAATCATTTACGTGATATTGAAAAAATTCTACAGAAAGATAAACGTTATTTATTATTAGATGTTATACCAGAAGAACGTTCGAAAATTTTAATGGATTATTTAGAAGAACTTGAACAACGTGGTGTTCCACCACCACCAACAGCTTCACTTGACAGACGAAAACCTTGATACAAAGTTCGTGTTTTTTGTTGTTTTGCTTTGTAATATTTTTTTTCTTTTTTGTCAACACAGAGTATCTGTGTGCCTATGTGTATCAAACGGAGAGTGATGAATAAAACTAAAAAAAAGACAAAATACAAGACTGAGCTTTGCATTTCCATTGCAATGATTCGTCTATAAACATATCAAGAATTTTCAAATAAAATCTTCGAATTATTAATGAAGCTAATATGTTTATTTTTATTATACTGGTGATCAATGGATCATTTTCTAAAGTTTGATAATCTCTTCTAACATTTAAAGTTTTTCGTCACAAGTGAATTTAAAGTACAGATTATTTTCTTTGAAAAATATGAAATTATGTTATTTATCGTAAGAGTTTAATGGTACAAGAGCCAAAAGATCTTTTGTAAACATGATGAAAGATAATCAAAAAAATTCAAAATATGATATATTCAAATAATACTTGTCTTATTTTTAGCATATACTAACTATTCGCTTTGGGATTGTTGTCGAATAACGAGTTATCGAAAATTAGTTTGGCAGAATGTTCATTCATTTTTCAGTCTACAAAAGTTTGAAAGCATTGAATGTAAATCAAAACTTTGTACTGTTTCTGAATATAGGTTCAATGTTTTTCTAAATGTTCTGATTTAGGAGTTTCGAGTTGACCTTTTACAAACGCAACAATAAAGTGTTGAAGAAGAAAAGTGCTAGTTTTTTGTGACAATCCTCTCTTTTACTGCAATGATCAGATTACTGATATTTTTGTATAGAATTAAAGGCGACATTGTTCTCTACAAAATGATAGAGGAATCAAGAGCTTTAGAACAATCATTCAGGAATTGTCAAGTTCAATTAGCAGGTCTGTTTTCTATAGAAATCGAGAAAAGTATCTAAATTACCACGATGGACCTTAACAAAACATTGATTGTTGACAAATAGATTGAAGAAAACTAATTTGTTTTTATAGAGAATTATTAGTTCTTTCATTCGCTGTATTTAAAATAATATTTGTTTCTACTTTGCCTAAATTTTGACATAGTGAAGCTTGTCAAAATTCAACGACAGATCTTGAAAAGATTAGCTTATAGCTCTTAAACCCCTAAAAGAACTTTGTAATCACAATTAAAATCTATTGCTTCCTGTAACTAACTCCATTTTATAGATAATATAAACGTAACTTTACTACTTATATGAATTAGAATGATACATCAGCGAAATAATAGATATAACTGTTTCTTCTAGGAAAATTTGGTGAAGCGATGAGAAGTTATTGTTTCTCCAAAAAAATTGACGTTGTGTCTCTCATGTCATATTCTGCAAGAACACAAAGCTCTGATTCCAGCCCAATATTCGAAAATTCTTGTAGGTGCCTTTTAGAAGCTTAAACATGAACGAACATTTTGTCAAATTACTCTTCAATAAATCATTAGTATAGAAACATGATTTTATTTGTCGTATTAATTTTACGCAATCACTCTTTAGTAAAATAATTGGTCAAACATGACTACAGAAAATTGTTATGTGATACAGTGTTATATCTATGAAAAGGATCATTGTAATACCTGTTTAATTATAATTGTATCCATTTACAATTATGTCTCTACCAGAGTTCTGCGTGGGATGGGATGAGACAAGAAATTTCTTCCCATGGGATAAAATATTCAATTTTATCCTATGAGATGGGATGGGATGCAAAATTTTTATGTGTATCACATAGGATGGGATTTCTACAGGAAATGGTTCATTCTATGGGGTGGGACGATCCTAAAAAAATTTCCGTCCCACCCCATGAGAAATGGGGCATGTTGAAATAATTGTATTCCATGGGACCGATGAGATGGGATGAAACTGTCCTATCCCACGCGGAGCCCTGGTCTCTACTAGTTCACTTATCTTAGTCACTGTAAAGAATGTTTACAGCTGCATTAGACAATGAAATCAAAGTTTAAATCTTAATTTTTATAGTCATACATCTAAACACACTTGAATCATATTTCTTGTAGTTTTATCAAAGAAACAAGTGATAAAATATATTAACACTTAAAACAATTCATTAAAATTTCTTCTTTAATAAGTTTTGTAATCCACTGAAAATGAATCATCAACGCTAATTATGAGAAACAAAATATCTTAGGTATCAGAAACTATAAAACAAAATTTTAATCAACGATAAACAAATATAGATATAATTAAAAATATGAAACCATAATTTTTTTGCTGATTAATAATTATGTCCAGCTACATAAAGGCTTTTCTCAGCTTCATTGTTGGTATGTTTTCCATCGTATTCACCTTTTGAAGCAGCTGCATTAGCCATAGCTCGTTTAAGAAAACTTTGCTGTGCATTTGATTCATTTTCTCGTTTGCCACTCCATACCTTTAAAGCTAAATATAACAAAACATATTATTCAAAAAAAAAGACACTAAAGCTTAAAAAAAAGGCCAAACCTGATGCTTGTAATGCTCGTCCATAACTAAATGTTAATGGCCAAGGACGTTTAGATTGATACAATATTTTATTAAGTTCATTCAAATTAATTGTTGCATCTTCTTCAGATTGACCACCACTAAGAAAAACCTATTCGAGGCATTCTATTATAATTAATTCTTCTCTATAAACATACAATGCCAGCTAAAGCTGGTGGACATGTTCGACTTAATGCTGTAATTGTAGCAAGTGCTTAAAGCATAAATACAACGAAAGAGTGAAAAACGATTATTTCATTTCTTTTCTTTTTACCAATATCTGTTGACTTTACTTTCTTTTTTGCTTCTTGTCCCGGTGTAACCATGTTCTATAAAACGAAAAAAAAAATCATTGTCTTCTTAAATAAATGAATCATCAAAAGAAAACTGCTTACTGGTTTCAGTAAACAACCTTCTAAGTAAACATCATAGTCAGACAAAGCTTTAAATATCGCAGCAAGAACTTTTTCTGTGACATATTGACAAACATTTATATCATGATCACCATCAGGTATTACTTCAGGCTCAACAATAGGTACTAAACCTACAGAAATACAACAAAAACAAAATATAGTTCTAATATTGTTCAATATTCGAAAGATTGATTAACCTTTAGCTTGACAAATCGATGCATATCGAGCTAGGATAATAGCATTATTTAAAATAGCTACTTCTGTTGGTTGATTTTTCTGCTTATTAATACGTAATACACAACGCCATTTAGCAAATCGTGCCCCACGATGATAACTTAATAATATTACGAATGATTATTTTTATCTTCAACAGATAATTATTTCTTACAAATCTTCACATCGTTTTTCTAAATCATCAAAACCTAATGTTGTTGTTTCATTTGTATTTATTGTTAATGATTCTAGTCCCTATAAAATATAAATTTTCCTATTATTTAATTCAAAATAAAAAATTTTATGTACATTACTCGATCGAGTTTAATACCTGGTAGAATACCAATTTGAGTAAGCAACATTGGAAATGAAATAGAACTATCGTTACTTTGATTAAATGTTTCTTCGTGCATAATAATCCCACTAATATATTGTTGAATATCAGGTGCTGTAAAAAGTAATTGTCGATAAATACGACGTTGTTCAGCAGTATTTTCAACGTCAATTGAATTAAATCGTTTTATAATTGATGATGGACTTTCATCAGCAGCTAATATACCTTTTCCTCGTTGAACAATAAAATCAGCATTTTTTTTCAACATTAATTGAAGTGATGCATTCAAATCAACATCCGTCATTTCGTTTTTTTTTGTCAATAATAATAAAAACAAAAACTATTCGATAATATATATAACCCGCCGTTTTCATATTCTACATATTATTTGTTTTTTTAGTGATATTTTGAAAATGAAACATGAGTAGCATATAAACATCGGGGTCGAAGAGTATTAATGTCAACCTTGGTAAATTATTATTATTGATACTTACAAACAATAAGCTTCGTTTTATTGACACATGTCAGTGTTTGTGACATAGAATAAAAAAAGAAGATGTATGTCACGATGCTTTTATATATGATTCAAAAAATAAAAGCCAGTTGTTTTTTTTCAGTATCTCTCACAAGGAAACATTTTCATCTGATCAATCGCTTTTTTCACTGAAAGCTGGTGAATTATGGGTTATCAGCCATGTTAGCTACGAATACGACTAAAAAAAATTTCCTTAGGTCTTCATATGCTAATTTTCTAAGCTAACAAAGTTTATGAAAACGTTTTTTTTTGTCTGTCCAAATTATAGAGTATATTGAATTGCCGAAAAAAACTACTAATTTTTTTCTGTTATAAATCGTTGTTTTGTGCAGAAAATAGTTTATACAACAGATAGGTATGAATGTTGCATTGTGGAAATCTTCCTGATGATATACTTTACTCAAAGATTCATTTGTGGAAAACAAAAAAAGATCATTGTCTTGTAGATAACACTTGATATGTTTTATAATCTGAGTAGATCAAAAACAATTTTGACAAAGTTCTGTTAGCCTGGAGACACGGTTTTCTAGAAAAATAACATATAAACATGTTAGGAGGTTTCCTAGAATCATATTTGGAATCAACATGGTCAATAACTCATAACCGAGTCATTGTTGGTAAGAAAGAGGTTGATCAGTTGAAAACATTCACTTGTGTGACTAAATTGTTTTTGTCTTATTCTATTCTAAAAAATTGAAATCCATAATAATATTTTTAAGTACGAATAAATCATCGTTTAATCGTTTTCTTTATTAGAAAAACATTAGCATCATCAACAACAACAAAAATAATAATTGATACAATAGATATATTAATGTCACGCAGTACTAGTGTACTATATTAATTATAGATCAACAGAAAAATATCAAAATTATCAAAATGATATTTCTTAATGAAAAATCGTTTTGAATTTTTCGAATAATCTATTTGTTAAGAAGTAAGTCTTGATGACGTACTAATAGTATATTATCAAGTAGCACATGGTTTTCATCTAATATCTTCAATAAACATTATCTAGAATAATAATATTCTACTTTGCTTCATATTTCTTTGAAATTACCACATGGCGTTGATCTCCAAAAATAATATTTGACATTAATTATTTTGCAGTTATCACTAGATAGTGAATTACTCCTTATTGTTTTACATACGTAAATAATATCATTTACATTTATTACAACGAATGGTATATGTATGTGTAAGATATGATAATACAACTTCAAAGCAGATGTGTTTTGTAAAAAAAAGAGGACATAAATATATATGTATATATATGTCAATAGAAATGGCTTAATAGTAGATACTCTTTAGAATGAAAATCAAATGCGAGCATCATAGAAGACTAAAATGGAAAGATGAGAAAGAGTGATCCTATCGTGGTTTATTTATTTCATTTTTACTATTGTATGCTTATATTAGTTAAAGTCTCTGTTAGACCTTGGTGAAAACTATCTACGAATCAACCATAAACGAATTCATTGTCATCATTTAATATCGATGATTAGACTTAGATGTTTGTTAGATGATAATTGACAACAAACATTCTACATTCGACAAGAGCGAAATAAGAATCATTAAACAAAGTGATAAAATGCACTGTTGTTATTCTTGTTTAATGAAAACTAGTGAATAATTGAATGATCTCCAACTCAGTAGAAAATACAAAAAAAAAATAGATTGCTTTTTCTCTTCTTTCTAAACTTATATATGCGTAGTTATATACAAATACAATCAATTTGATTCAATAACATGCGATAAAAAAAGCCATCTGAGATTCACGTATTATATTTTGTTAAGTAAACTTATTACAACTAATTCTACTAATATTGTTATAGAAGTCGAGAAGAAAAAAAACAAGGAAACTATAAGAGATTCTTTTCTTGTTTTTATCATATTCTTCTTGTCTTCGTTCCTTCATCTAACTCGTTCTTTCTCTTTCTCATAAAATCCCTAGATACAGTGTAGAGTATAATGTCGAATCAAGCATATGATACGGCAAGACGAGAAAAAAGAAGAAGAAATGAGAGATCGAGAGAAAAAAAATGTATCTAAAAACACTTACGATTGTAACTCAGAGCTATTTCTTTCTATCTCGGTCATACAACCTTCATATTTAGCTTGTTGGCGACAAGTAATAGGAAATAAACACATATTATTCTAACACTGAAAACGATTAAATAAGCCAATCGAAATATATAATCGAAAAAACAAAGCTGCTAAGAAGTTCATTATTGTCAAATTAATGGGTAATCTAACTAGTAATACTAATACTTCGACGTTTCTATCTCGATGGCCAACAAGTGGACAAGATTCAACATCAAAACAAATTCAGATAAGTACAGACAAATCAGATGGAATTTATTTTACAGGTGAATATTTAAGTGGTATAGTGGAAATCCCTATTTCACACATACAACAGCATATACGTAGTAAAAATAATCGAAAATTAATAGAATTTCTTCGTCGAAAACCATTAGGTGATGATATTATTATAGAACTTGTTGGCAATGCAACATATTCAGCTGAAGTTGATTCAGCTGCAGATAGTGATGGACATGCAACACATAAAGTTAATATTTGTCGACAGCATTGTTTTGTAACTATTAATCAAGATATTGAAAAATTATTTATACAAAATGATAATCAAGCTGAAACATCGTTTGATCAAACAACAAATACAATATCTTCACCATCGGATACACAAGATACATCATCAATATTACCAACAACAATTAAAGGAACATTTAAATTACATATACCACATGGCCTTCCACCGTCGTTAAATAATAATCGTGCACCATCAGTTATCTACACATTAGAATTAAATCTATCATCAAGTAGTTATCGTTATCAAATACCGATAATAATTAATTCAAAAGGTTGTTTACCGTGTTCAACAACTGATATTGAATTGAATGGTAGTACTACTAGTCAACATGATATTTGTTTACAAGCCTATCTATCAAAAAGATTTTATCGACCTGGTGAACAAATACCTGTTCGAATAAATTATACAAATCCTCAACAACGTTCAATTCGTTCAATAACAGTTACACTTATACAATTCTATCGTATACATCATGATGAATATCGTTCAGAATTAGATGGTAAAGAATGGACATTTGATACTTCAATAATGTTACCACAACAAGAATGGTCTGGTGAAGCTCGTTTACAATTACCATGTGCACCATTACAAGCATCATTTTCAAATCAAACTGTTGGTACAACACAACGAATTGAATATGAATTAGATTATAGAATTTTTATTGAATTGTATGAAAAAAAAGGCGATAGTATTCATCTGACATTACCATCGATTAACGTAACATATCAAACATAAAACTTTAAGAAATTGGCGTTTTATTTGAGTTTTGTTGATATTTTAAAATGCATAAAGATTAAGTGTGCTTTGTTTTTTGTTCATATACACAAAATAAATCAAGAAGAAACATTTCATTTATTACAATAAATCATATTTTAAAAAATAAATTCGAACTTTTCTTTTTTTCTTTTGCTGTTGTTTTACTTCATTTTCTATGAGTTTATTTTGATCAAAAAAAAAGAAGGAACTTGATCGAGATGAGCCATTACGGTTTTGTTGATAGATGAAACATTTTATGTAGCTTTCAAATTTTATTTACCTATGTGAAAGAGAAATGATATGAAAAAATTTCAAATAAAAAAAAACCTTTTTTCAATAAATTTGAATGATGAAATAATAAGACATTTGTTTGATTTTTATGTGTCTTCTTTTGCAATTCTGTTCTCTCGGCCTTAATTAAGAACGGGTAGTTTTCAACAACCTTTTAATATATGCATATGTGAAATGCAGAAGGAAGAAATCTATAGTGTATGTGTTCTCATAATACTTACGTCTTTTTCTTCACGTACAAGCATGAAACAGTATGCAAGTCTCATTAATTTTTTTTCTCTCTCCTCTCTTTTTTGCATATATATGTATATGTATATATATACATCGGTTCTTCTCTCTATAGCAAAAAATATTAAAAAAAAAAGGAGCTGCAATTTCGTAGGTGTACACATAAAAGAATAAAACAACATTCATATGCACACCACATCTAATTTCGTTGTTTGACAACGACGACGACAACGACAAAAAGAGAAAGAACAATAGCAAAATCTATTTGTAGACAAAACAATACATCTATTGACTCATGCTATTATTCAGTTTTTTAAATTTTTAGATTGTAAAGAGCTAAGAATTATGCATTATCTCTTAGGTGGTCAACAATTCTATTTTCCATCATCTGATGAACAATCATATACATTACAAGAATTTCTTGATAATAAATATAACAATGAATATAGTTTACCAACTATTGTTCGAATAACATCAATAAATATTCATGGACGTTCAATAAAAAATCTTCTATCAAAAAATATTCCATTATTATTATTAGATACATATCAATTTGAATCGATTTTAGCTGAATATCATCGTTCAAATGATGGAAAATATCATTCGACTAGACATCGATTTACATCGACTCAAGCTAAAATTGCTTCTAAAACAACTAATAAATTTCGTACAATGAAAAAATTATCAACATCACTTGTTACATTAACAAAAACGAATCTAAGTGATGATAATAGTGATGATGATTATGAAAATATGCGTATTATTATTCGAAATTTAAATCAAAATCGTTCATCATCAATTCCACTTTGTCGTATACCAATGAATTATCATGGTTTTTTTGAATTACTTAATGAAAATGATCAAGCTATTGAACCATTTTATAAATTATCAAATTTAATTATAAAAGAAAATAAAAATGATGATAATAATAATAATAAACAACAAATATATACTGAAAAATGGCCACAAGCATTTTATCTTCGTAGTACATGTATAGCATATACAAAACGATATATTCCAGATGAAAGAAAACTTTCTGGAAGTGCTGATTCTTGTTATGGATCATTATCCGATTTAGATCTACATAAAAGTCTTCTTATTCTAAACGATGAAAGAATAACTCTTCAACCCGGTCAAATAATAACAATAATAAGTCAATGTTCTGCATATCGTAGTCAAACATATAATAAAGAATTAAAAACTGAACAGTTCGAATCACAATCATCAACATCATGGTTTAGAAATAAATCTCGATTTTTTTTTCTCAGAAAAAAAGCTCAACCATCACATTCTTCTAAGAATCAATTAACAAATTCAACAAAAAATATTTATGATATATCAAAAAAATCTGAACCTTATTTAAAATGTCAAACAGAACAAGGTGATATTGTTTATATATCAATTCATGAATCTGGTCTTTTTAGTCCACTTAATTCACAAAATTATCGTTCAACATCAATAACAGAATCAGAAAATCTTGATATAACAGGAGTTTTTCAATTACAAGATTTACTATCAAATTTTCGTTTTCCAATATCTGTTAATTTACTTAATAATTCAATATTATTTGATAATATTTATTCACCAGCATCTATTAATCAAAATGAATCTTCTCCATTGTCATTAACAAAATTTCGTTTATTATTACCATATACTGAAAATGTTATATTTGTTTGTCCATTAGTTATACCATCATCATTTAAATCTGAAATAATTGTTATTCCAATACCATTAAATAGTGACATTGAAATTCAACGCTGTTTAAATATGAGAGAAATATTAAAAAATAAATATTTTCATAATTTAATTCAAACATGTACTTATACTATAAATCAATTTAAAACAAAATTGTCCTATATACATTTTCCACTTGTATTAAATACAACAACAAAACAGTTATTAAAACGTAAACATCCATTATTTAAAAAACGTTCACAATCAGAATCTCATCTTGAATATTATGCATCAAATTTAACAAAAAGAAAATATCGAAGATCATGTGATGTATTTAATCATCATAATGATGATGATGATGATAATGAGTCTGATATAGAAAATAATAATTTAAATTTTCATCCACATGAACAATTATATCATCGTGATAGTTTTGAAAAAATTAAACAAAAATTATCAAATAATTTAATTGATAATAATCCACGACAACAAACTACAAGACGTTCTGGTCATTATGCAAAAATAAAAACAGATAAAGTAAAAAAATATTCACAACAACAAGAATATGATTCAGAAGATGAAAATTATCGTGACCTTGATCATATTTATGATTATATACGTTCAGGTGATGTTACGGATGATGTACAAAGAATACAAGCAAAAGAAAAAGCATTAAATACTGAATATAATCAAAGGCATAATACTTCACAAGTATGTCAATCAACTGTTGTCAATGTACCTAATTCAAAAATAAAAGTAAAATAAAATTGGACTTGTAATCATGTATTTTTGTTTTCTTTTTTTTTATTTTATATATTAGCAATCAGAAAAGAAAATATCACCAACAGATGGTAGCCCAACGGCAAAAGAAAATCATCGATTTCCACATAATCTTGATGATTCTAGACCATTTAATGAATCCGATGAGGATATACCTGATATCCCTTATTTAAAATCAAGACGACGTACAACTAATACTTTACCTGAATCAACAAATTCGAAGCCAATTTCCAAAACGAACAGACTTAGCAAACAATAGAATTTTAATCTATGCAATATAATTAAAAAAATTAATTTTCTTTCGTCCATTTTATACATTTATTTATTTTATGTAAGATATTTTAATAATAAAATGTGTTTAAGTAAATGTTGTACATAGTCATGATAAGTAAAAGAAAAGAATACACAGCCTTTGTCTTTGAGTTAGATCTTTCTTGTTGATAATAAAAAAAAAACAATTCATTTTCTATACATAGAAACCTACTATATGGCTTTTTTTATATAAATATTTCAAAGTAAATTAGTTAGATGCTGTATCGAAGGTCTTTGTTAGCCTAGTAAAACAAAATAATAGAAAGAAAGATACTCTTTTGTTTCATATTTATGTTTTGCGTACAATATTTGAAAGTAAATATAATACAAAGATTGTCAATATTTCTAAAAATAAAGCAATTATTTACTGTTTCGAGACGTTATAAAAGTTAAAATAGTTTCTGCATATATCTGATGTTTATTTATGATTACTTCATGCATCTATTGTATATATTAAGTGTAGAAAAGTGCTTCATAGACGGATGTAAAAATAGATCTATCTTTGTGCAAAGAGTAGCTGTCACATTGTTTATAAAATAACAATGCCCACGGTTAGACTTAATTATTCAAGACTAAGTTAGTTGTACTGTATACACATCTGTAAACTTATTATTATGTTTATTCTAGCTCTTTCGAGAGATATTTAAAAGTTGATTGTGGTGTTTGTTTTTGATATTACCATCATTCATCAAAAATACACTAATGTATTTGACCAAAATATTTTCATGAAAATAGAGTTTGAAATAATTCTTGAATGACTACTTGAAGTATGTTGAACATTGAGATTGCTATTATTGAGTATAATTTCGTATAGTTGATAATTCAGTTTTAACAGTAGAAAGAAGTCACATAGGTATAGATTTACAGAATATGTTGGATCAACATATACTACCATATCAATTTAGGCATCAAATTTCTTAAGAGTCCAAAATGTTTACAGTCGCGCATTTCTATACTGAAAGCTGAGATATTGAAGATCGATTTTTATTTCTCTTGCGATACACTATAAAAATTTACTTTAGATAGCTATTGATACGCTAATTCCTATCTACTAGATCTCAATGACATGAACTTTGTTAAGCTAATTATTATCGAAAAAAATGCGAAATACACGTGTTTGAAGTTTTGCTTTGATGAGTTTTGACTGCTCGTGAATTGTTTTATAATATTCAAAATTTTCACTACGTTTCTTATTCTTTATTTTAATAATACAACTATGATCAATCATTAATAAAAATATCAAATATCAAATTGACATTAATCTATTTAAATCTCGTCAATAAATGACGAGAACATTTTTGGTCATTAATAAACTAATAATGCACTTATCGAGCAGTACTTTAAACAAATAAGAGTCGTTGAAATAAATTGCTGATGCAATTATACTCAAAATGTTTTCTGTTAATTTGTATGTCTCATGACAATCATCTTCAATTATCGTTTGAAACAACAGCTGAAGAACAACTGGAGCAAGCAACATAAATTTCCTCTGTTGTAATTCATCAAAATTACAAAATATACTCAAACGATCGATAGAATGCTTGTGTTAATGCGTTAGCACGATATTTGGCTACCAATATAGAAAAAAAAACCTACTCCAAATATGAACTAATATAGCATACTTAAACCTTCTTACATTCTCTTTTCATCAAATTCATTCATTGAAAATATTAGTTTGCTAAGACATTAAAGAAGCATTGAATCATCTGATGTTTTAAATAGAAATGATAAAAGATACAATATCTTTTTTTTTTGATTTCGTCTCAGTAAGATTCACAGTCTTTAAAAAGAAACTCTTCCGAATCGCATTCAATTTTTAAGCTATCAACTAAATTATTAAACCGATAGTGACAGCATGCGATTAGAAAAATACAAAAACAGAAAATATGCTGTTGTTTTCATTGTCTTGGTCTTATCTATATCAAAAATAACATCGGTAAGATAATATTTCTTTTTAAATATGACATGTTATGACGATTTGCATGTAGAGTTATAGAAACAAAATACCTGCTTCTAGAGCATGTCCAACTGACACAAATGATTTCATATTCTGATATTTAGTGATATAAATTTTTATATTCCCAAAGTCGAAGTATATTTTTCATGTGATTAACATGAGTTAATATCAAGATCTGTCCATAATGCATGACTTTCTTTCTATAAATAAGTACATGAGTTCTTACATTAATTATGTACAAAATTAAAGCAATTTATAAGCTGAATTAATGAGCGTAATATAAATAAGAATACTTGGAAAGATCAACTATAATAAAATAATAACAGCTGTTCTAGTTCAGATGAAAGAAAGTTCCATGTGTCATTGAGGATGTCTGACTCTGCTTAATTACTCATATAGATTCTTTTTCTCGTCTGCCTGTGGGTGTGAATATAGAACTGAAGAATAAAAGGAACTGAAAAATACATATAACTTTTTATTGAGCAGGCTTTCATGTGTCACTGGTATTTCTTCAATCAGTATCATAGATGATTAGTTCCAATGGAGTATTATTATCACTAACTTATGATCGAAACGGATTTTTTGCAATTGATCTATGCAGTCCGTATTGTTTTTCATTTTTTCTTATCCTTACACGCACTTGAGCGCGTCAACAAAAGCCTTGAGATGCATTCATAGCACATGACTTTGTTGCTCAAAATAGTTCAGAACTTCATTTGCATGAAAAAAATGTTCCACTAGAGTTATACTTAATTTGCCAATATTTCTCTCTGTGCAATAACTGTTGTCGTAGAACGTGATCTAAAAGCAGTGTTGATGCGTAAGGATACAACTTTAGACGATTCCATAGACGTGATGAACATTTTTGACAAGGTCTTTGATTTATCATAGATCGGGACACCTACAGCCACAGAAACGTTATCAACTATGACAAACGTTGTTGATGTGCAAGCAAAGACTGTATATCAGTGAAGTCTCGTTATAATATGTGAACTACTTTCTTATGACATTTCTTGAGGATTAAATAAAAGAATAATGAAAAAAGGTGCCGGGAAATAGATAGGATAAAACAATCATTCTGTAATTAGCAACAACAGCTACATCGTGTTTTACATTATTTTCCAGCAGGAATTGTACTAATGGCTTTTTTTTTTGCTTGAACATACTCATTCTGATTCTTTTATGTTACATAAAGAGAAATTTCTTTTTTTTCAATTAACGATGTGAACGATCTCGTTACTAAAGCATTGATGATAATATAACGGAAGATTTACCTTTATTTGACTGTAAGTTTTTGTTACAATTTTAATTATTAAAAAGAAATAATTACCAAAAAAAAAATTATGTTTTCGTCACAAAAATATGGAAAAAGACAATCTATAAAGTCTTAACTGGTACATTTCTCATTCAAAATAGCATGAAAGATTGTCTCAGCTGATTCAATAATTGTTTTACTTTCAACTAAACATAATTCATTGCCACATGTATTATGAATACTAATTGGTTTAGATAATTCTAAATGAAAATATAAAAATTTTCTAATACAATAAGTAAAATACAAGCTTACCAATTGTTTTTAATAAAATTTGATGAATGATAGAAATAGCTTTTTCACAGGCACACTAAAACATTAAAGATCACGTGTATTACTATCGAAATTATAACATTAACTTACTATTAAATTATTTTCTTTATGAAACCATGCAAGAATTAAAGCAGAGAATGAATCACCTGTACCTGTAAAAGTATTTTCTAAACGTGGAAAATCAATTCGAAATGTTTGATATTGATTATCTGAAATTAATTCAATAGAAAAATTATTTGCCACCAAAAAAAAAACACAATCAATTGATAACTAATTTTACCTGCAAGTTTTGAACTAGCTCGTAATTGTAACATATTTTGATTACCACCTATTTTATCTGCTGATATACTTGAAATAATAATATGTGATGGACCCATATTATGTAAAGATCTTAGTGATTGCCAAATCATATCATCTTGATTATCAGTATGAATGACATTCATTTGTTTTTCAATTAATAGTCTATATTAAAAACTTATTTTTAAATGTAATAAAGTGTCGGTAATGCTAAATTAAAGTAGAATTTTTTTTTCTCTATTCTTTGTTAGATAAAGCATAACGAACTGATGAAGAATATGTGTGTTTTAATTTTTTCGAATAATTCATTAGAGAAAAACTTTCAGTTTTTTTTTCAAATGGCCTGCTTTTTTTTCGAAAACCAGATCAATTCTTTTTTCTTTTCCGTTCAATCTCAAAATTGTTTGTTTGAGAGTCAGCGCGAAAAACTGAACACAGTAAAGTCTCTACTGATGAAAACTTTTTAGCGTTGCCTTTTGTTATTATAATGTCTCTAATGTGAACATGTTTTTTTTAAACTTCTTTCCCTTTCTGTCATCTTTTTCGTATGTATTATGAGTACGTAGTTTTCGTGTATGATTCGACTGCTACATGTATGAAGTGAAGAATGACATAACTACACGAGCTTACTTTCCAAAAAATAAAAATCAATTAAAAAATATAATAGGTTACTCTGTTTCAAACATGTTGAAACACAAAACAGAATATGTCAATAATTGGAAAACAAATCAGGATCAAAGCATTAGACGAAAAATAAATGATATCAATGTACAAAAAACTATAGATATGACCAGGCCATTATCTATTAATAATACAGAAGTGGATTTTCCGAAACCTTTACTTCATTTCACAGCAAATCATGTTTCAAGTTTCCAAAGTAAACATTTTTGAATGATCTCGATGGTGTTGACAATAGAAAGATTTTACTGAATAGGAAAGCCATTTGCAAATGATTTTTCTCGAAAGAGTTTTTTTCAGGCTAAATTTCAAACAAGCATTTTTCAAATTTTAACGGCAAATGAAAACATTGATCTGTTTCTCAGAAACGGTAGGCCATCTGGAAAAAATAGAAAATTTTTCTACGCAACAAGGCATTCCAAGAACTTGAGAACGCGCATATTCTTTATCACCTCGTCCTGCTTTATCTAACTATATATCAAGTAAAGAAAAAAGAATTCTGTTTTAATTTTGCATTTTTGACGCCTTGAAACAAATTAAAAATTTACTCGATTTCAAAGTCATTCGGTGTAATTATATCGGCTAATGGAAGAATTTCATTTTTATATACGTCAACACAAGATCGATCAACATACTATGCAAGACCAAAAAAAAAATAATAATAAATGGATTGAAGAATAAAATGATTATGTACAAGTTTATTATTATCACCAATTACTGGATCGCAAACTAAAAGTTTGTTTAAGAAAAAAAAACCCATTGAAAAAGAAATGGCACGTTTATTTTCTTAAATGATTTCATATTTACCGTACTTGACATGAGGAAATTTAGATTTAATAAGTTGTATATATTCAACAACGACATGTAATAATTCACCAGATCCCATATAACCTATTATAAAAGATTATTTTCTAATGTTAAAATACAAATATTACAAACCAGTAAGAATATATTCATATTCTAAAAGTTCATTAGCTAATAAACCTTGAAAAATATTTCGAAGTTCATCCACACTTAATCGACTACCTTTTACTGTTTTATATCCTAATTAGTAATTAGAATAAATTGATAAAGAAAAAATATTTTTAAAAATAAAAATACAAACCGGTATGATTAGAAAAATGAACAGAATTGATAAGGTCAACTTCGAAACCACAGAGCTGAAAAGTTTTATTGCTACTATTCAAACTAGATATTTGACTTTAATAAAAGAAAAATACCTGTAAAATAAAGGCAGCACATTTATTACCAACAAAACCATGAACAACATGACTTTGAATTGATAGTACGCGAGGTATTTGATGAGATTTGTTAGACATATTAACAAATTATGACGTTAAATTTAAACTTTGTTAGTATAATACAAGCTACACTATATGATTCCTCAGCCATATAATATAATATGGATTTTAAAACGGGAGTCAAGAGGTCGCACTCAATCACACTAAATGCTTTTCACTCAGGTATTGAATATTATTTTTATAATGTATAATGCAAAACAAGTGTATATTTCAGATTTCAATAATCAGGCTCAAAATAGATGTAGTTTTTCTCATGACTTATTTCTCCTCAGTAGCAACGTTGGGAAATGATGATTTTCTTTCTATTATTACAAAAATTTGCAAGAGTTCCAGAATTGTCTCTACAATCAATTGGTACAACGACTAAAAGAGAAGTAAGGTTTTTCATTTTTAATTTTTAGATCGAAAGTTTTTTTTTTATCTTGAGAGTACAATTATTCCTATGTTTGTATGGACACAGAATATCTGTTCAAGTCATAAAATAATGTGTAAGGACATGTAAGATTAGATGAAATTATAGTATAAGATTGTATATAATCATCTATTGATATCTTACTGAGCAGCAAGATTTTTTTTTTCAAGATTCTTATAATACGACTTACGATAAAAACTTTTTAAATGTTAAATTACTTTTGAGTCTGTATATATGCGTCATGTGCATTCTAATGAACTATGAATGTGGGTGTGGCTTTGTTTTCTACACTTTTCCATCCGCACTCGGTGTGTAATTTTCACGACCGATATCGTTATCAGTCTAAATAGGCCAGATTAGTCAGTTTACTCGGTCGCTCTCAAAAATCCATACTGAAACTGCACTAACATTTTGTCGTATGAATTCATCTGTAGATAGTGATGTTTCAACCTTCGATAGAATCTCATTACGAATTCTCTATGGAATATTAAGGACAGAAAAATTAATAACACATACCTATAACTTTTGGTCCATCACCAGACTAACCAACTTGAAACCCATATCGATACCGAATCAAGCGGTAATTGGTACCAGATTCATTTCTGGTCATAACACATTGACCATATCGAATGTAGATAGAATATTTATCAACATGGCTTATTTTGATTCTATATATTTTCCATTTTTTCATAGGAAATAAATGAAAAAACTATTTAGTATGTATTATATTCCCAGTACAAAAACTATAAGAATACTTTGACTTATATTATGATAAGAATTTCAATGATCATTTATTTTAGTTTGAAACAAAACAAACAAACAAAAACTAACATAGAAACGTCAGTAATAGACAATTTTTTTCTATAATTTATCAAAAAAAACTTTTACAGATAAACACAAATGATAATGAAAACATACAAATTCTTACTATTGTTCAATTAAGCCATAATATATTATAATTTCTATTTCTAACAATATTTTAATAATGTCTTAAGTGTACATGCTTGAAGACAACAATCACCAATTAACGTATTATTAAATTCTACAATAAAATAAAAATATTATCATATTTTTGCATTTAAAAAACGAATCAATACAACTTACGTGCATAATCTTTAATTGAAAGTGTACGTGTGAATGGATCATCATCAATAATCATATGTCGCTTTTCATGTGATGATGATGACGATGCTGTTGATGATTTTTGGTTTTTCATTAATATTTGTTTAACTCTATGACATATCGAATCAAGCATTTGAACTAAAGCTGGACCACATAGTTTAAGACTAGCTGGTTTACGTGTTGATGTTGTATTTTGTATTGGATTAGTTATATTGTTTCCATTTGTAAATAATATAATCAATATTAAAAGAATAATCAACGATGATCGAAACATGTTGATGATGATCAATGAAAAGAATAATATTACTAGTGAACATTTTGAGTCAAGTTCACTTTCACTATTGTTAATCTCATCATCGTTAGTAAACATAGATTTCACACATATCGTGCATTAGAATAATACTCGTTTCACTTACTTCCATGAAAATTATAAAATAATCAAACAAATTCTCTTTTCTCTTTCTTTCTTTTCCTTATTCTTTATTTTATCAAATGAAAGTTATATAGAAAGGATATGCACAAGGAAAGGATAAACAAACAGATTTTAATGTATGCATAGAGATTTAAAACTAATTAGTTTTTTTTCTTCTTTCATTCATTCATTCATATATATTAGAATTTTCTTTTTTTTATTTCTTTAAGAAATGAACTATGCCAGTGAAAAAATATCTTGTCAACATAATATATATATCTAAACAAGATAGTTTAAGTAATACATTTTTAACAATTAACTTTGATTGTTTTTGCTTCATGATGTGAACTTCATTTTAGATCAATTTTTTTTTGTAAGAAGAACAAAAAATAATCAAAGTTTCATTATTGATATTTTTTTTATTATCTTTTAGATATTTGAAAACTAATAAGATCACAAGTGCTTTAGTAACAGATGTCTATTGATGAATCGCATGTCAAATTAACATGTTCATTCGATTATGTTAACAATATCATGATTTTCATAAGAATGATAAAAATAGCATATATATGTGATTTATATAGAGAATAAAATAGAAGTGTTACTCATAACAATCAAACAAAAAGAAAAAGGAATCTGATATCACCAGTCAAGTATATTTTCAAGAACGTCAATCGTAAGAAAAATGACATATAGTATTACAATTGAATCATAATAAGAAATTAAAACAATACGTTCCACCGAAGTTTAAATTTTTTTTTTCTGGAAATACTATCTTCAATGGATATTCTTTAAAAGCTAATTTTGAAAATATATAAATTTTATTTTTCTTCAGCACTGATCAACTTGAAAAATATGCATGGAACGGATGCTTACATATACACAACACACTATAGATGAACAGTAAAGAAAACATAAATAAACATAATCAATGAAGAAAAAGCAAAAACAAAAATACAGTTGTTATTGGGTATTTTACTCTGTTTTTTTATATAATAATAACAAATAATCAAAATTTCTACAACAATATGATTGATGCTTAATTTGGAAGAGATCACTACAACAATACATAGAAAACTTTCATTTTTAATCTAAATACACAGTATTTATTTTATTCAAAGTTCAACGGTTACAAAAAAAAGGAACATGTGTGCATATATATATATGTATATAATCAACTTGTATTCATTGACGTATTTGTAGATATTGAATCTGATGTAACGTGATTAGTAGTTGTTGTTAAAAATGTATTAGTTGTATTTGCTTGTTGTAATAAATCAGCTAATTTATTTTTATCAACCGATGTTGAACCAAGTAGAGCTTGTGCTACTTCTGGTAAAATATGTATTGTTATCATTGGTACTGTTGTCGATGATGAAGCATCAGTTGTTGTTGTTGTTGTTGTAAGACGTGTTAATGATGCATTTGTAAATAAATCTTGTGCATTTGTTAAATTAATTGTAACACGTTTACTATTATTTGGATCTGTTGTTGGAATTGTTGTAACATCTGTTTTTGATAAATTAAGATTATTGGAAGTTGTTTGCGTCATTGATATATGTGATTTTTTTAAACATGCATGACGATGTAATAAAATTTCTAATTGATGTTTACGTTCAGTTAAACTTTGTACTGAACGTTGAAGATTTTGCTCTTGTTCAACTAATATTTGTTCAGTCTATTGAAAAGAAAAAAAAAACTACAAATTATTTAAAGAGCTCTTCTTTTGTTTAGCATTACTTTTTCTAAACTTTCACGAAGTTCATTTCGTTTTTTACGACATTTAGCTGCTGCTTGTTTATTTCTATCACGACGTTGTTGACGTTTTACATTTTCTTCAGGTGGGAGCTAAATGTAAAAAACAAAAAAAAAAAAAGAATTAATCAATAAAAGACTTAAACAATGTTTAGTTTATTCTTACGACTTCATCTTTACTTTTTCTACCATTAGCAAGTGTTGGTGCAATATGTTTTCTTGGTTTAACTAAAATTGGTCCATATTGAATTGGTTGAGTGAATTGATCTTTTTTATTTTTTGATGATGACAATGATTTATTTATTTTTCCTCGTCGATTTTTACTTGGTGCATTAGAATCATTTGATATTTGAGTATATTCATCTGTTGACATTGATATATTATCATCATTATTATTATTATTTTCTAAAATATTTTCTTGTTTTCTAGGTCGTAATTTAACTTGATGGGCTAATGCTGTTGCTGTTGGAACACCATGAGATGTTGTAAAATCAGCAAGTGATAAAACTGGTAATGATGATGATGATGATGGTGATTGATTTGGTACACTAATTACATTCTTAAAAAGCACAAAAAAAAAACAAAGAAATAACTTATAAAAAGAATTGTAGAATTTATTTTTACCAGTGGTTTAACTGTTGTTGTTGTTGTTCCTCTTTGTCGTCCAGTAGCCATCGATACAAGTGTATTAGCTACTTCAGCAGCAGTATTCTCCGGATTGTTTGTAATAAATAATGTTGTTGGTCCAGATGAATCTTGTGTTTGAACACTTTTTTCAGCTGTTGGCTGTTGATTTGACATTGTAAAAAGTGTTGGTATAAATGTTTGTATCTTTGATCTACATCAATAATAAAAAAAGACAATAAAACTTCTGAAGCGAGAAGGGAAAGATATTGCATTTTTTTTTCTTTTATTGTTTTTGAGAAAGTGCCAGATGCTTTCTTTTGAGAGAAACTGAAGAAAACAAATCACTAATCAATTGAAAAAAAGAAAATAGAAAAATTTTCTTTTTTTTTGTTTTTGTGTTCGAAGAACGAGAGAATTTGCCGTTCCACGAGGTGCACGTATTAGTCAGATTATGTACCGTTGTTGAATCAGCGAGTTATTACAAGAACGCAAATAATTCTAATAAAAACACGATTAATAGCGTCATAGTTTCCCACACGTATGTATACTCCTAACTATATATACTCATACATATATTCATCCAGCATTTTATCGATTACTCTGTTCTCATATACGTCTAATTGTTCGCTTGCTCTCTTGCCGACAAGACGGCAAGTAAAGGAAAAAAAAGTTTTTGAAGGTCGATGACACATTATTTTTTCTTTCTTTTTCTTCGTTTTTTTTTCTTATATTATCGACGATGATTAACAAAGTATATACACGAGCAAAAAGCAACAACATTGGACTGTTGTTGCTGTTGCTGTCGTCATGTTTATTGCATGATTCATGTCAACAAAACGAGAGAGAAAAAAAAGAAATAAATACCTCGTCTAAATGCAAATCAATTTCAAGAAGCGAGAGGATAGTAACCTGGTAAAAAACATACAATCAAGACCACTATTTTTCTATTTTGCGTTCGCATACACGCGTGTGTATATGCACTTATAAAATAAATGTCGAATGACGTTTTCTATCTTTTTTTTTTTTTCGTAGCTCAATAATCGGATGATTGTTAAAAACCATGAAACATACCTGTCTTGTACGACATTAAATATAATATTTTTATGGTCCATATAATTTATCTATTTATTTATCATTTATAATAATCTGAAAAATCACATCATAATAATTATTTTTGCATAAATAAAACGAAAACGTAACAAATTTAAGTTTTATTTGAACAAATTGATGATGAACAATTTTCACATGTCGTAGAAGAATTTTTATTCTCGTATGCTACATCAATTTTTCGACGTGTTTGTTTTATTGGTCGATGCTCAAGATTTTTCGGTGTCCATGGTCCTAAACTATTTTGAGAATAGAAATCCATTGGATAACGATTTTGCCATTCAATCTGACGAAGAGCTACCATAGCCTAGAAAAAACGATACATGAGATAGAGAAAGAAATATGAACCGATTTCATAGTTATTTTGTTTTGCTTATTTTTTCTATAATACCTCATATGGTGTTAGTATTGGTGTTTGAAATCCAGCACCCCAATCAATAGATAAACGTGGACATGATGTTTGAATCCAACTGAAATAAATTGAAACTAATAAGAGAGAGGAAATTTAAAAACTTGGAAATTTACACATTAACATTTTTGAATAGTTTTAATTTATCAGGCATTAATTCAGGCATAACCACTTGAATAAATTTTTTTCCATTTGCTTTTAAGCGTTGTTTGATTGTCTTAAAATATCAACGATATATAAAATTTTTGTTTTTAAGTATAAAATAAAATTTTACTTCTAAAACTTTTGGTGAACCTTGTCGTCCTAGTGAACCTAAAACTAAACCCCAAACTTGACCATTTGCTGCTTTATTAATCTCATTTTGACGTATAGTATGCATAGATTTTATATCATAATATTCACGTGTAAATTCTTTTGAATATGGATCATATCTATATAATAAAAAAATAATTGTGAGCATAACCTTTACAAAATTAAAATGTAGAATACGATGTATCTATTGTTACTAATCACAAAGAGACTTTTATTATTCTATCAATTTTAGAATATATTTCTTCGCTACTTGTTTTATATTTAATCCTTCAGAAATGCAATAAATAAGTAGTTCATATATTATAAAAAAACACGTTATTGATATACAGTTTTTGATTGAATATCAACAACGTTCCTGATGGTTTGTAAGAGGTTTCAAATTTTTATCCTTATATTTCAACACTCCGTTTAGATGATGTGGTACAAAAAAAAAGTTTTGTTTTATATTTCAACATACTTGTATGCTGGTGCATCTGGATTATGAATCATAATTGATTCAATATGAAATCGTCCATCACCAATATATAAAATTGAATAAGATTCAGGTATGATTGGTGATGTACAACCAAGAATTTCACCAGGTGATAAGGGTTTGGTTTGTGGCATAATAACATCAGCGACATGATCTTTTAATTGTTCTTTTATAATCTAGTTTAACAATAATGAATAAAAATATTCAATGAGTGAAGAAAAAAACCAACAAACTTTACTTGTAATGATCGAACAAATTGGATTGTACTGACAAGTGCTAGTTTACTATCAGATGTAAAATGATGTTTTAATGTATCGACTATATGTTGAACATTAACTTGAATATCAACAAATATATAAAGAATACTTATACCAGGTGTTTCATCAATAGGAACTAAAATTAAATAATTTGATATGAAAATTTATGAAAATCTACAGTTTTTTTCTTGAATGAAATAAATTTTGCTGAAATTTTGAATTATTAATATATGATATACTCTGTAAATACCTTAAAACTCGAATATATCAGTCCACGCATATCGTATGTAGTGTAAAATTTAGATTTATTAGTTTGACGGTGAGACTTTTACATTGACTCAAACATATTAAATGTTCTCGAGTTATAATTCACACTCTTCTATTTTTTAAATGCTTATAGCAATTCACGCTGACAACAATACATCAATGAAATATTGAGATTAAGGTGAAAATTAATGTTTTTATTTATATAAGAATAAATCAGTACGATCAAGAACATTATCACTGAATATGCACGATAGGTTTTCATATATTTGATTTGTTGCTTTTTTTCTAATACTGCTGCTGCATTACTGTTGAAACAAGATAGGACTTATAAGGAAAAATTTCTAGGTGTCAAATCTCGTCTCGACTAAGACGATGCTTGTTCGATGAGTACTGATGACTAATAGAAAATTCTATTATAGTTTAATTTTTCGGACTTTTATTTTCGAACTATCGAGATTTTGTTGGGTTCTTCAGAACAGAAATTTTGCATGAAAAAAAGTTCTCAATGAGATTAGTTCATTGAACAAGTTGTAAATTTTTCAATAGTATCTTCTATTTTAAGAGACTGAATATTAGTAATTCTCTCAGGTATAAAACCAAAATTTATTCATATATTTGTATCCTCAAAAAGGAAATATTAGAAAAGCAAAAAGTTGCACAATCAACTAATCTCATTCAGAACTTTGTTCATACAAAGTATGAAATCAAAATTCTCACGTAATTTGAGAAGAATCATACTATTTTCTCTACCGTTCACGTTTATTAATATACATTTGATAGAAGTGAAGAGAAATATTAAGATAAAGACTAGAAATTCTTATGAACAATGTTGAGAAACTCATTAGTCTTCTTTCGAAACATTCTTATATATAATTTAATTTTGATTGATATGCGTCTAGTAATAACTGCGAAAAAGAGAACGTTAGGTAACACTTTGTAGATTGATCATTTATTGCCGAAAATTTTATTATTATGACGAACATTAACACTCACCTACCGAGACAACTATGTCCATAATGTATCAATAAATCGCAGTTCAATGCTCGAGCACCATAATCATCAATGCAACATGCACCATAAGCAACATCACCCATAATAACAACATCAACATTTGTGTAACTTAACGGAAAAAAACGAAGTCAAGGTTTTAAATCTGAAAGAGAAATATTTTTCTTTCTTACGCTTTAAGTATATCAGCAATAGTACAAGCAAATATAAATAAACCTTCAGGCATTTGCATTGCGACTGGTCAACAAACGAAATAGAAATATTGAAAAAAATTTCAATTATTTACTTTTTTGTTATATTACCTCGTTTAGCTTTAATTGTTTTAATTCTCCATATTGTTTTATGTATTTCAAAATTATAATTTTCTGGTAATTGTTTTATTAGTAGATTAAGTTCTTTATCATTAAGTAATTCATCAGGTATTTGGTTTGCATTTAATGGTCGTACTTTATTCATCTAGAAAAAGAAATACTCCAATATTTATTTATTTGTATTTCATTGAAAAAAAAAAGAAGAAAATCAAATTTATTTTTTATGTAAACGCATATATGTTTGATAAGAACGTTTAAATTGTCCACATGAACATGATGAATGAAAAAGTTCACGTAATGCTAATTCGATAATTAAATATAAACGTAGTTGAGTAGAAAGTCTACATAAACGATTTGATGTTGATATACAACAAGGTTTTCTTGCCTAGAGAAAGCATAAAATAAATTCAATTGAAGAAACGACGAGGATGCATAAGACCACTAATCCGTCCATTATTTAAATCCAATGCAGAATTTTACACTGAGTCGTTTTTGGAAGTAATTTCAGATCGATTTGATAATGTCTGGGATAATAAATACCAAACATATTAATCGTAATTCTTCCTCGTCGAAGATGTTATGGATATCGTGAAATAACTCTGTATAGCAGCATGACTTTCAATCCAAACAAGTCTCATTAGATAGAACATTTAATTTCACATCAATTACTATAAGAAAAGAAATCTAGTAAAACATCTTGTCATTATTTTTTATTCGTTAGTTTATTATCGGTCAACAGTATATTAGCTGAAAATTCTGTAGTGCTCTTTGATTTCTCGAATGATAAACATAAATAAGGTTCTGTTCAAGTAACTCTTTATGTTTTCAAATTTAACGGATACTGGTCACTAGAAAAGTCTCAAATACACTAACCACTAGATATGATTTCGTAATTTTTTTGACAAGTATTTAGCATTTCTTATACTAATTGATGCAGAATTAAATCTTCTATCTAATAAAACCAGTGTAGAATGACAATAAAATTGTTGTTCAAAGTTATCACACGATATTGATGACATTTTCGACGATGAAGCACTAAGATTCGTATCTCTGATCTTCACTATTCTGAATATTATCGAATCGATTAGAAATTACTTCCAAAAACGATTCAACGTATAATTCTGCATTGAATTATATAATCTAGATAATCGACAGATTTGTGGTCTTATGCGCTCCCATCCTTTGATAAAACATTTTACTCGATAAATATTTGTTTCATAAGCGTCAACATATTCTTGTAAAATATCACGTTTTTGACTCTCTATATCAAATGCTTCTTCTGTTGTTCGTACCAATTTCAGATGCTCACTGAAATTAAAGAATATTAATGAATAAAAATATTGTTTTATTTTTTGACTTTTATTTACTCAGCTTGATATTTAAATTCTTCAAATAATTTTTCTTTTAATTCTTTGATTTCATTATCACGATCAGCTATTTCTTGTTGATATTGATTTTTTATTTGTGATAAAAGAGTATTATACTATAAAAGAATTTAATAAAAATTTTGATATTTGTTTTTCTTGATGTTTACTTGTTTCATTAATTTTGCTTGATCGTTATCCTTTATTGTTTCAAGTGATTTATCTTTTGTTTCATTTAAACGAATTAATGTACGCTGAAGTTTTAATTGTCTCATTTCATGATTATCACGTTTACGACGTTGATTAGTTATTTCATTTTTTATTTCTTGCACCTAAATCATTTCGATTATTATCAATTTATATTACGTGATGTTTATTTAATAAATCATATCATTATTTGTCGGAACATGTGTGCGAATACGACAAACTCGAGATCTTTGGATTTGATGTGATTAAGTACTACGATTTCGGTAGAAAAATTTTTACAAACGATAGAATTTTGTTCTACTATTGGGAAATATATTCCCAAACAAGGATTTGATCTCAAATTTCTAGTGTATTTCCCATTTGTTACATTTTTAAGACGAATAGAAGAAGGAACCTTCTTTCGGTTTCAATGACTATTCTTTTGCCTATAGAAACTGCATAATGACCTAATAAAAAATCTAAAAATATTTTAGTTCTTAGTGAGACTAGACTAAGCTATCGAATTTTCGATCTAAAATTTAGTGTATATAAATAGCTCAACTAGACTAACTTTCATAAAAAAAAACTCACAAGTTATGAACAAAGTCTCTGTCAAATATGAGGCTTTCAAAAACAAACGTATATTCTATAGAGTATCCATAGAAAAGCGTCTATATCATGAAAGTATCATATCTCAAAGAGATTTCGTTCAAAATTTCTAAGTTTTTATACGGAAACAAATTTAATTAAGTACTCTGTATGTTGCAAAGTGTCAGATCAAAATTCGAAAATATGAGTTTTTCTGAAAATCTGGATTCTTACTATTTTTTGATTTCGGACTTGATTCATGACTAACCTTATTATTGAGTTGTATTGATGCAACCATTAATTGATCAATGATTTGATCACGTTCAACACATGTTTGTTGTACACTTGTTCTTTGATAATGTACTTTATCAAATGTATGACGGCTAACTTGAAGAGATTGCTTAAAAGAAAGATGAATAGGTGTTTATATGGAAAAACATTTAAAATTAGATAAACAGCTAGCCATAGTATGCAAAGAAAAAGATGGAATCAAATAAAGCTATTTGTTCTAAGAGTAAAACTATAAGAGCAGCTAGGCAATTTCAATAGACATACCTCGAACTAGGTTACCTATTTTGAATGGAAAGATTTTTATAAGGCAAACTATTAAATTAGAAGAGAAAGACAAAAAAAATCTTACTGAAAGTGATGCACGAAGACGATCAAATTTTTGTTTAAATAAATTTAATTCTTGCTCACTACTACTTAGACTATGGCCGAAAAAATTTTCGTCATCCTTTGAACGCCATGTTAATCTTGAGCGTAATTTTAATGGTGGTAATTGTATACTAGTACTATGAGAATTACGTTTTCGTTGTGTTAATGTTAATGGAGCAATAAGTGAACGATCATAATAACTTGGGATATTTGATAATGATGACGATTGAAACTGTAATGGAGAACTACTCGAATCCCATATTAAGCTACTAGTATTTGATTCAACGGCCATTCTAAATAATCTAAAATTCGAAACAATATAACTTGACAACAATCACTTATTATCACTGTAATACATTTATGTATATATATATATGTATATAATTAAAAAGAAAAAAAAGAAAAAAGAACTTTTCTAATATAACAAAAAAATTAATAACAACATATTTACTATAATCATAAAATGAAAATAGAAAATAATACATATATATATAAATATTCATGTATATATCAATCATTCTTCATTGACTGATAATGGTGATGATGATGTTGTTGTTATTGTTGTATCATAATTATCATCCATGCGTAAATCAAATGTTCTAAGTAATTGAAAAAGTGCACCTGCTTCTTTAATATTTCGAAAAGTAATGCAAAAATTTTGTACTTCGACAAATCGATCTTTTATATCAACAACTTTATTGCGTATTAATGATTGTATAAAAACACTAACAAGACGTACAAAACGATTTTGTAAATACTTATCTTTTGTTTCTTCACATGTTTTTATACATCTGGATATATATAAATGAAGAAATTCTTTTGGTAATTCAATTGATGTTGATAAACGATTGACAACTTCCATTGAATGTAAACTCATATCCATATTAAGTAATGATGATAAATATTCCGTCATTTGATCCGATGATATTAATTTTAATAAACATTGTATACTTATGCATGGATTATTTTCAACTAATAATGGTAATTTTAATGGTGTAAGACCAATATGATAAATAAGTTCTGGATCATTATTAAGGTCATCTAAAAGTTTCTGTTGTTGTTGTAAATTTATTGCACCTTGATAAGCTTTATCCATTAAATGACGATTTTCAAAATTTGTTGCATGAGATATACACATAGATGAATCCCATGCAAATAATGATGTATCATTATCAATATTTATTATTGGTGAAAGCCAAATAAGTTCATCTATTGTACATTCATGTAATGGTGGAACAAGACGAAGATATTCAGGATGTATTGTTTGTTCCATAACATTATTTAATAATAATTGTTCTATTGTTTGTCGACTATTATTAGATCGATAACGTAAACCACCAATAAGCGTATCAAATCCATACTTGAAAATAAAAATAAATAATACAAATTTTCATAAGTTTAGAATAGTTTCAATAGGCAATTTAATTTTTCATTATTTTATTATTTATGAAATTGAATATATAGTATTGAATTTTCTTATCTTCAAAGAGAACTCATAGAAAATTCAAAACTATTTAATTTCTATTTACAAGCTGCGTTTCTAATGGAAATCGAAAAAGAAATGTTTCTTTTACATTTTGTTTATAGTAGTAAAATGTACGCGTGCACATTCTTTTCGTAAAAGGAATGTATTAAAATGTACAATGGCGAATTTTTTTTAAAGAATGAATTAAAGAGAAAACGAAAAACAATTAATCCTTTTTCATTCAACGAAAAGACTTAGCGATGATCAAAACAAGATGATAAGCAAAAATTTATGTTTGTTCGTTTCTCTTCGTGATACGATTAAAGAGGGATGAGAAGATAAAAGAAAAAAAGTTAAATTTTATATTTTTCTGTTGAAAAAATGCATATAAGTGTACGTTTTACTTCTGCTTGGTATACACGTAATTAGAAACACTGTCTGTAAGACTTCTTTAATAGATATTAAATCGAAAATTGTTACATATGAAAAAAAACAATTGAAGATGTTCATGTATTATCACGAAGTATATATTTTACTAAGTTAATAGATATAGAAAGAATCTCGGCGATTACTACCGAGTTTAAGTGTATTTCAAATTTCTATAGTATATGTTTGTAAGTCTTGCCATTGAATGTTTGATTCTCTTTTCCATTGTAGTTATCGTAATAGATAGATTACTTTGAAAAAAAAAACAAAACCTAATCTTGGTTACACTGAAATTTTGCCTATTTTTTTAAATATAAGTCTTCTAAATACAGTTAAACTCATTCAAAAACCAAGGCACCAATCTTTTTTTTTTGAGCATATAAGAGATTTCATTTTCTTTTATAATTAAAAACAATTTTTTAATATCTTGACATACATGATTAATTTCTGGATCATCAA